GGACTAAACCAGGACTAAACCAGGACTAAAACAGATCTAAACCATGTGTAAACCAGGACTAAACCAGATCTGAACCAAGGCTAAACCTGGACTGGATCAGACTAAACCAGGACTATAAACCAGTCTGAGCCAGAACTAAACTAGGACTGGACTAGGACTAAACCAGGACTACACCTGGACCGAATTAGAAATTACAAATGTGAAATTAGAAATAAACCAGGACTAAAACTCATCCGTGAAATACTTTCTGTTTCTGTGTCTTTGGGCAAGACACTTCAGATTTTAGAGGCTGAAAGAGCCAAAGGATCTGAGTCTGTGTGTGCTGGAATGTTCCGCAGTGGCATTAAACTGTTCTATGTAAAGCCCGGCCGATATATCAGTTGGTCGATATTATCGGCCGATATGTTTGCTGATAGGAGCCGATATTTCACGTGGGCAGGTTATACGTCGTTATAAATCTCAGACTCTCTACATTCTGTTCATTTAATCCAATTTACAGACAGATAAATGTCCAAATATGTGACTCCACATCAGGATTTACCTGTAGAGTCATTTGTCCGTGTGTCGTACTGTCCCTGAACACACCACAGAGTCACGTGTGTTTGTTTACACTCACACACACAGACACAGACACTGAGATTATTTTCTTTTTATTCTTTTTGTCTGTATTAAAAGGACATTTATTAGTTCAGACTTGTGATGTGGGAGGAGCCTGTGTGAGGCTGAGTGTTGGAAATATGTCGACTTTGAAGCTGGTTTTGGTTATTTGTTATTGATGATCTGCTGTGTCTCTCTCACATAAACAGTCTGTTTTCTATTGGTCTATTGTAAAGTGAATATATTGGTCGTATATTTGTTCCTGGAGCTGCACTGATGTAAATGAGCTGTGAACAGACGTGTGAATGATCAACATTTACACATATATTTAATTTTTACGGCTAAAGGCTAAGAGCGGTAGTTTCTTTATTAGCTTGTAGTGACGGTCGGTCGTGAACGAAGCGGCTCTTAGATCCGGCTCTTTGAAGCGAACGTCGGGAGCTGGCTCCTTATTGGGATTGGGAGTCGTGTTTTCTCTTTCTCTCACTTTTTTTCTCTTCCCGTCGCGTTCAGACTCGTGGGAGTTTGACAACGGCTCAAAACGAAACTTTCAGAAATCTGCATGTGCATAGGATAAAAAAACTTCCATGTTTGTCTGTAGTTCAGCATAAAATAAATAAACCAGGACTAATCTTGGGCTCGAGAGACGGAGACCGAGTCCCGACACTCAGTCCTTGTTTAGACCTGGTTTAGACCTGGTTCAGTTCTGGTTTAGTCCTGTTTGCAACAAAACAAAAGAGTTTCTGTAAAAAGAACTGAATCCCCGTCACTAATGTCTAGAATGTGATGTAAAAATGTCAGTCCGACTGTCTGTAAATCTGACGTAAAAAGGCAGAAGAACAATAAATGTTTCCTAAATAAACCCAATTTAAAATCCACCAGAGACAGACCGAAGTTTTTTAAACAATTCCAACATTTACAGTGAATTTTTACATCACTAAATATATCAGCAGTTTTATCGGTTTCATATCGGCCACAACAAAATCCGTATCGGTCGGGCTCTAGTTCTATGTGACATTTATTCAATTACAAATGTTTTGAATTATAAAAATATCTCCCAAACACTGTTCCTGTGACTGTCAGCGAGCTCGCCTCTCCACAGATCTGACCTCTGACTCTCTCTGACCTGCTGATTGTTTCCGTATTAAAACCAAAATAAATAAAAAAATCATTCACATAAATTGACAGAAAAATATGACTTGTTTTTGACTATTTATGGCCTTTTAATATGTGACTGAATATGATTGACTGACAGCAGCTGCGGTCGTCATGGAGACAGATATATATGTACATATGTTTAATCTAGTTATATGTACATGTTTAATGCCACACTGCGGGACATTCCAGGCATGGCAATAACATCTCCATGGAGACGAGCAGACGGTGGAAAAGGTTTGAGCTGAACGTTTACGTCACCGAATCGACCGCGACCTCTGACCCCAGAGCCCCAGGTCGTGTTTGGTCATGTGACCCGCGGCGACCAATCAGAAGGCAGCATGAAAGTGATGATGTAACAGAAAGAGAAGGTCAAAACCCCAGGACTAAACCAGATCTATACCAGGACTAAACCAGGACTAAACCAGGACTGAACCAGGACTGAACCAGGACTAAACCAGGACTAAACCAGAACTAAACCAGGACTGAACCAGGACTAAACCAGGACTAAACCAGGACTAAACCAGAACTAAACCAGGACTAAACCAGGACTGAACCAGGACTGAACCAGGACTAAACCAGGACTAAACCAGGACTGAACCAGGACTAAACCAGAACTGAACCAGGACTAAACCAGGACTAAACCAGAACTAAACCAGGACTAAAACCAGGACTAAACCAGGACTGAACCAGGACTAAACCAGAACTGAACCAGGACTAAACCAGGACTAAACCAGAACTAAACCAGGACTGAACCAGGACTAAACCAGGACTAAACCAGGTCTAAAACCAGGACTAAACCAGGACTGAACCAGAACTAAACCGGGACTAAACCAGGACTAAACCAGGACTAAACCAGGACTAAACCAGGTCTAAAACCAGGACTAAACCAGGACTAAACCAGGTTTAAAACCAGGACTAAACCAGGACTAAACCAGGACTAAATCAGGTCTAAACAAACAAGGACTAAACCAGGAACATGTGGACTAGACCAGGACTAGACGAGGACTGTGGACCTGGACTGAACAGGGACGGGGGAGAAATGCTGAGTCACAGTTGCTGGTGCGTTCGAGGTCCTTCTGTAAATCTGAGCTCCTCTGATGGACTCAGTGAGTCTGGGTCGAGTCTCTCCCAGAGACCAAGACCACAGGACAGAGACTTAGACCTGGTTCAGTCCTGGTTCAGTCCTGGTTTAGACCTGGTTTAGTCCTGGTTTAGTCCTGGTTTCAGTCCTGGTTTCAGTCCTGGTTTAGTCCTGGTTTAGTCCTGGTTTAGTCCTGGTTTAGTCCTGGTTTAGTCCTGGTTTAGTCCTGGTTCAGTCCTGGTTTAGTCCTGGTTTAGTCCTGGTTCAGTCCTGGTTTAGTCCTGGTTTAGTCCTGGTTTAGTCCTGGTTTAGACCTGGTTTAGTCCTGGTTTAGTCCTGGTTCAGTCCTGGTTTAGTCCTGGTTCAGTCCTGGTTTAGACCTGGTTTAGTCCTGGTTTAGACCTGGTTTACTCCTGGTTCAGTCCTGGTTTAGACCTGGTTTAGACCTGGTTCAGTCCTGGTTTAGTCCTGGTCTGTGCTCGTCCATCTTGTCTCTTCCTCTGATGCTGCGGTTGCCGTGGTAACGAGACGGGGTCGGTCTCCGGGGAAACGGGAGGAGAGAGAGAGAGAGAGAGGTGCATGATGGGAACAGGAGGGGGAGGGGCTTCAGAGGGAGGTGGCTCTTTGTTATGACACAGAAACTAAACCAGGACTAAACCAGGACTAAACCAGGACTAAACCAGGACTAAACCAGGTCTGAACCAGGACTAAACCAGGACTAAACCAGGTCTAAACCAGGTCTAAACCAGGACTAAACCAGGTCTGAACCAGGTCTGAAACCAGGACTAAACCAGGACTAAACCAGGTCTAAACCAGGTCTAAACCAGGACTAAACCAGGTCTGAACCAGGACTAAACCAGGTCTGAACCAGGACTAAACCAGGACTAAACCAGGTCTAAACCAGGTCTAAACCAGGACTAAACCAGGTCTGAACCAGGACTAAACCAGGTCTAAACCAGGACTAAACCAGGACTAAACCAGGACTAAACCAGGTCTGAACCAGGACTAAACCAGGACTAAACCAGGTCTGAACCAGGACTAAACCAGGACTAAACCAGGACCGAGCCATGACTGAACTGGGTCTAAACCAGGACTAAACCAGGACTAAACCAGGTCTGAACCAGGACTAAACCAGGTCTGAACCAGGACTAAACCAGGACTAAACCAGGACTAAACCAGGACCGAGCCATGACTGAACCGGGTCTAAACCAGGACTAAACCAGGTCTAGATCGTGTTCTGTGTGGATGTTGAGTGATGTTTGTTTTGGCGTCTCTCCGTCTCTCTTCCTTCATCCCTTCATCTCTCTCTCTCTCCGTTTCCATGGCGACCTCTCATCCTTCAAAGCTCTGGGTCCGTTTCATGTTTTTACCCAGAATGCACTGCAGCCAGGGCCCGTTTCAAACAAAGACTCACAGACGTTTCAACATTTAACCTGAAACTCGGAGGATCCAGGTGTTTGTCTTTTGTGTTCAGTGGGACAGTGTTTGTTTTTGTTTTAAATAACTGTATTTATTGACATTTTCAGTTTAGAACAAATAT